TGACATTCTCAGGAGACAAATTGGAGAATTTTACACTTCAAAACTGCCCGTCCTGCTTCATTTACTGCCAAAGGAGATCTCTCACTCAGATGTGGATGTGGTACAGATCAGTAAGGGGCATAATTACTTTGCTGCAGCCGTTGCATCGTGCCATGCTCAGCACGTGTAGTGTAACTGTGAATTATTAATGCATGTGAACATACGTGTGTGTACAAGTTTAATGGGTGAATAAAAGAGAGAGAGCAGGGAAGACAAAGAAACAGGAGGAGAATCACTAACAGACAGAAAATATTAACATTAAACATGTTCTCCTCCACAGCATAAGGGACCATAATATGAGCAACACTCACACTTTCTGTGTAACTGTGGCAGTCAAGCTTACACTTACAGTAGTCTATGGTGGGGAAGATCATCAAGGGGCTTCCAATGGACGGGGGCGTAGTCCCAACAGCTGGTTGAAATGGCATTCTGGTTGTGCCAGTGACCATTGGTGGAAACTCGCCATTGGCTGAAAAGAAATATAATGCATTTAGTGAAAAGCCAGTGCTTTCTTTCTTTCATATGCAGCAATGAAACCCTATTGCTGCTCCTGAACAACTGAATAGGCACAGTAGATGCAGAAGCTTCACTGGCACAAAAAGTGTGAAGCCACCAGCAGGGGTCATTCTTTCATTTGTATCACCAGTGGCTGTACACAGAGAGGAAAATGCATAACATTCAGCTCCTCTTCATTGCCCCCTGTCTATCTCTGTTGCTACAGTAGATGGGTTAGCACACTGAGCCTGGGGTTTTGTAGCAAACCAGCAAGCCTCCAATCTCAAAACTTTCCCAAGACCGGGATCATAAGCTTGCTGGTACCTTGAACTCTTACCCTCAAATTCTCACCCAGAAATAAGTTTTCCAGTCAAAAGGTTGTCTATTATAGTAAGGTCAAGACAGAGGAACCACTCTCCCCCAAAGATATTAAAGTAGGAGATTTAACTATTATAATGAACTGATGCTGAAATAAACAGTCATCTGTCCCCATTCTCTAATTTTCAGCAGGGTTCTGAAACAGGAGTTACCATGGTTTCAGACCTGAATCAGTGGTAGCAAACACCAGCCTGAATGGTGTTAAAGAAATCTGCTGCCACACCTGAACAGGGACAGCTGAGGCTAAAGGAACCCTGCCATCTGAACATAAAAAATACTGAAATCAACAATAAAAACGTCAGGCAGCATTACAACGTCATAGAGGACAAAACACATTAGAACCTCCCATTTAAATAACAATAGTCTATGAAGAGAAATTTACCATTTCCTTGAACTGTTTAACATGGCCATAGGTTGTGAACACTTTTTTGTTCCTACATAGCATGTTCAGCTTAAGCTCGCCTTACACTAGAAGACTATGATACAACTCAAAAAAGGCTGAAGTCTGCACCATCTCACATCTAAAGACAATGTGTCATTAGTCAGTTTTTAGTCAGAGATATGATGTGGACGCAGCCGTGGTTGACTGAAAGGGGACAGTGAGGTGTGCCCACCTTTTCTCTTTCTCCACTCTGTTGTGGCACAAACTGGATGACATGCCAAACAGATGGCTCAGTCGACAACTCCACCAGTTTCTCCTTCTTTATAATGGTCCAACAGAACCATGCCTTCCCAGGTATGAAGTCACCAAAGTCTCCACCATATTTAGCCACGTGTTATTCATTTACTGCTGTTTCTGTGTCTGCTATGCTGCTTCCTCTTTGGTGCTGGAGAGAGCTCACCTATTGGTTGATTACAATGTTCATGTCACTGTCTGCAGAAGCCAAGACTAAAGACTTAGGATAATATTAAACATGTTTTTGGAACATCAAGATTGGGGGGAAAAAAAAAACTTCAAACAGCTCGGTTCACCACCTTACACCAAATGATTGAGATGACAGAGCACGACCAGACTGTAGCAAGACTGTCATGATCCTATTCCGATGCTGGAAATTTGTCTTCAACTAGAAAGTGCTTGAAAAGTCATTAGGAGTAAGGCTGGTGATAGCTGCTGTAAACATGTCTGTGTTATGTCTTTGATGTTATGTTGTATACACAACACACTCAGTGGTGCTGCTGTATAGTAGGCTGACCCTTGTTGGTTGCTGTAAATGCAGAAAACTTCAGTACGACTGAAACTTTTGGTTGTATACAGGGCCGTCAACGTGGGGGGGGGGGGGGT